AGGCACTTGTTACTAGTAGCGATGCACTTGTTACTAGTAGCTTCTTGCTCCTAGTAGCTTCTTGCTCCTAGTAGCGTCCAGGAGCTTTTCTGAGACCATTTTGCAAGTAGGTTGGAGGCCATCGCTTTTAGCTCTTGTAGCCTCCACCAGTTGAGGACTTCAGCGCCCCTCGACTCCGTGCTCTTTTTTGTGAGCTACAAATCCACGTGGTTCGTCATCAGGCATGGCTCAGAGGTGGTACAAAGAAGAAAGATGAAGCAGGCCCTGGTGATGCCTTCGCCGACTGCTCCAGTTTCTCTGATCAAGATAGTGCAGGTAGCTGTGGACAGAGCACAAGAGAAGTAGAGCACAAGAGAAGTTCCCTGACGGGGTTCTGCAGTGGGACGATAGGCTTCCCTTTGTCGCTTCCGGCTGATGAAACTGTCCTACTTGACCCTTATGTCAATATGGGCTGACTACCTTGCTTTGGCAATCGAAGACCTATTGGCGGAGGGCTTGTCACAAAGCCACCCAAATCACGGCAATTCTGCGTAACAGGCTGATTTCCGCTGGATTAATTAAAGCCAAACTGAAAAGCTGGTAGAAGTGAGATTCCCTGCGAGTGAGGAGACGCCCTCCAGTGGCAACCATGTTACCATTCAGGTGGTTGGGGTTTCCCGACACCTAGGGACTTGGATCCAGCATGGAGGGGGGCACTGAGCTCAAACGCCACTGCTCATGATGGGACAACCTAGTAGCGTCCTTGCTCCTAGCGATGCCAGGAGCCCTAGTAGCTTCTTGTTCCTAGTAGCGCTACAAGTTGAGTTTCCCTAAGAATCTAGGCTAGGAACCAAATCATTAGTGTGAGCGCTTCTTCAAGGAAGCTTCCTTGAAGAAGCGTGAGCTATCCTGCGTCCATACTAGTAGCTACTCAAGCTACTAGCTACCTCTCCCTACTAGCTACCGACTCCCTAACTTAGCGTCCTACCCCCCTTTCAAGATGTACAAATACATGAGAAATTGGGAATGACCCTTCTCCGGAAAGGGCAGATTTTCATAGCCTTGTTATCAGCACCTTGCTCTGCAATGCTTCGGTACGAGTACGGTGCAACAAACCACAACGATGCTGTGCTTCAGCGACTGTGTAAGCGCTTTGCAATACTGCACTACCGAAAGAAAGCCAAAACTTGGAGCGTGAGTTGACTTCTTTACAAACAGCCCTGCCGTCAGCCCAAATTGAATTGGTAGTTGGGTCAACTTAGTGTCTCTGGGCAGCCAGCTTCTTGGCACGTTTGCGACATGGACAAGACCTAAAGGTTCTGTTCCTTTTGGCACTTCTTCATGGACTAGGAGCAAGAAGCTACTAGTAACAAGTACATCGCTACTAGTAACAAGTGCCTTACTAGTAGTAACAAGGACGCTACTAGGAACAAGAAGCTACTAGGAACAAGTGCCTCACTAGTAGTAACAATAAGCTACTAGGAACAAGTGCCACGCTACTAGTAACAAGTGCCTTACTAGTAGTAACAAGGACGCTACTAGGAACAAGAAGCTACTAGGAACAAGACCTACAACCAACAGGACAAACTGTGGGTGCTCTTGGTGGTTGGATGTGATTGCCTGTTTTCCTTGATTTCACTACCGCACTCACTTGAGACTGTACCAAGGTCGGTATGGGAGTTCGCGCCTAAGCCAACTGACCTATTGCCAATGGTGGGCTCAACTCATTCATGTCTAGACGCCAGCAAACCGCCCTCAGTCTAACTTGAGCGAGAAAAAAGAACTAGTGTTTGTTCTTTCTGTCTTTCTCTTTTCTTTCTTTCTGTAATATTTGTTGTCTTTCCATCTTTCTGTTGTTCCTTTTGTCCCCGTCTTTCTGCCTGTCTTTCTTTCTGTTGTTCATTATGCCATTGTTTTGGTCTTTGTCGTGTTCTGTCGTTCTTGCTTTCTTCATGTGTGCCTTTCTATCTCTCTGTCTTTCGGACTTTGGTTTTCATGTGCTGTCTTTCTGTCCTTCTGTCTTTCTATCTTTCTGCTTCTCTGTGTTTTACTGGTTTTCCTGTGTCTTTCAGTTTTTATATGTGTCTTTCTTTCTGTCTATCTCTTTGTCTGTCTTTCTTTGTTCTTGTCTTTTGCCTTGCTGTTTTATAAAGTTCGGTCGTTCTTCTTTTCTGTGATCATGTGGGTCCTTCTGTCTATCTTGTTGTCATGCTGTTATTATTTCTAGTTTGTATCTTTCTGTCTTTCTGTCTTTCTTTCTGTCTTTCTGTTCCTTCTGTCTTTCTTTCTCTTTGTCTTTCTGTTGTTTTATCTTTGTGTTTGTCTTTCTGTCTATATTTTGGTCTTTCTGTCTGTCTTTGTGTCTGTCTTTCTCTCTTTTTGTCTTCCGTCCTTCCTTCCTTCCTTCCTGCCTGCCTTTCTTCCTTCATTTCGGCTAGATACAGCTATATAATGCCAGAGTGAAACCATCCACAGCAAGGGTTCTTGCAAATTGTAAAACACCAAGCTCTCATTGCATTCAGCTCCGGGCTTACTTCCACAGAAGCAAAATGAGAATCCACCAGAAGGAGCCTGGATGTCAAAACTGCGTTTCTTTTAATCTCTTCGAACAAAAACTTTTAGTGAAAGCTTTAGTGAATGAAATTCAAAAGTTCTTGTTCCTAGTAGTATGGCCAGGAGCTACTAGTAGCGTTCTTGCTCCTAGTAGCGATGCCCTTTGCTCCTAGTAGCGAACCTTGCTACTAGTAGCTTTGAAAATTTGTTTCAAAAGCTTTTGAAAGCTCGGCTGTTCTCGCCTGATCATCTGGTTGCCGGACATCAAGGTGCTCCAGAGGCTCCAGTGTTCCTTTCGAAGGCTTCGCCCAAAAGGCGAAATCCACAAAAAGCGATCAAGAATGTTACTAGTAACAAACATTGTTACTACTAGTAAGGCACTTGTTACTAGAAGCGATGCACTTGTTACTAGTAGCGAACATTGTTACTATGAGATTTCGTGGAGGCAATGTTAGCCGCAAAAGCAGATCTGTGGCCTAAGTCACGGCCTTCCAAAAACTGAAAGCCATGGTCCTCAGTCTTCGCATTTTCCAAAGATGCGTCGACATCGTTTGGTAAACTCTTAGAAGCTTGCCTCTTGAGGTCCCGCTTCTGCACGAAAATCTGCGAAGAGCTTTCTCAGAGCAACGTAGTCTGGTCGCTCCTGCCGTATGACAACAGGATGTGAGCAAGGCTTTGTCAAAAAGAATGTTACTTTGTCAAGAAATATGTTTTGATTTGCTCATCCTTGAACTCCAGGGATCGTGCAGTTTGCAGGTAGATCTTGAACGCAGGTGGATGACCTGCGCATGAAAAGAACTGCACAAAAACCCACCCCTCAAACACTGTGGAATCTGATTGAAGCCTGCACATAGCTCATCTAGGGGTGTTGACTCCTTTTTCTCGCGGATCTTCCTGGCAGGATAAGTCCACATTCGCAGTAGTTTAAAGGTCAGAGCTTCAAAAGGTAAGCGGAACTCTGTCGGAACTCCTGTACTTTTCTTCCTGTGTCTTTGCATCAAGGCCAGACCATGGAAGGGATCCTGCATGGAAACAACATGTCTGCATGCGATGTGTCCAAAGCGATTCACTGGCTGCAGAAATTCTCTCGTCCTCGAAGAAAGTACATGAGCATGTGACCAATAGCCTGCATGGATCAGAGAATGTGGAATTGTTTAAAAATAACACACACAAACCGTACAAAAATATATATAATACAATATACATTATGTATGTATATTGTGAAAGTGGAAGGGTGACCGGACGATCGTGCACCTTGCCAGGTTGATGACTATGAATTCCGCTTCCCGCTGCCGTTGGCTGTGCCTCTACGAGGGGCCCCTTGGTAGCCATGACACTCGCTGCGCTCGCGATGGGATGAGAAAAGAGTGCGCCTAGTGAAGGGCGATTGTGGTGGAATCTCATTTCCGCGTATCTTCCAGATACTCCTCTCTTGCCTTGCCGTCGCTACCATTTCTACATGGTAGCAGGTCGCTCCAAGCCTGCTCCACTCGTGAGGGCCTTCTGCGGTCCTGGCCTCATCCGAGGCTTCCTCCGAGCTCCGATCTTCGTAGCTCTTGTGAGGGCATTCTGCCCTGAGGACCCTTTTCCTCCATGGCCGTTGACTCTGGAAAAGACATGTTCTACAATCTGAGCTTCGACGGAAATCCAAGCGGATACCGTGATTTCTGGCGGCGAACCTTGTTGGCAGTTGCGTCAGTTGAGGATAAGAAGGCTCACCTTGCTGGAGCAAAGCTGCTTGGTCGTTTGTCTGGAGAAGCTTGGCGTGCTACAGAACATATCCCGATACGCAAGCTTCGAGAACATACTGGTTGGACAGCAGTGATTCATGCATTGGAAAAGCATTACAGATACTTGCCAGAAACAGAGTTGCATGGCGCTGTTGACAATTTTCTGTTCTCCTTGGAGCGACATCCTCACGAAGGTCCAACCTCATTCAGTTCCCGCTTCCGCACTCAGCTGGATCGTTTACAGAGCTTGATTGCGCAGGAGCGTGAGCTGCACAAAGCGAAGAAACAGAAAACTCGCAAGACTCCATCACACGCTGGCGCTGACGACGATAGCAGCGCTGAGGTTCACCTGACCCATCTGAGCATGAAACTGCTCAGGAGGCTGCCGCCTCCTCGTCAAATCATGAACAACGTGCTGCAACAGAGCCAATTCGTTCAAAGCCACCTTCCTCGATCGGTCGAGATGCTGGTCACTTGAGACGCAAGTTGGGCAGCGACGGTCGCGGATCGTCCAAGGCTGACAAGGACAAATCACACAGGAAGATGCAGCAGATGCTTGGTGTGCTGGAGCAGGGTCAATTTGAAACCAAGACCCATCTTTCCCCAAACATCTTGGGCCACCTCTTCATGAAGAAGTATGGATTGTCCCGTGAACACCGTGCATCTGTGATCAGGGCCACAAATGGTTCCTCGCGCTATGATGATGTCGAGAGAATCCTCCGTGCCTCTGACTATGAGACTGTGATTGATGAACGAAAGTTGGATCGAAGACCTCACCGTCCTCCACCGCGACGGGAGACCTTTGCAGCGCAGGACTACCAGCCTGAGCCTCAGTACGTGCATGAGGTGCATGATGAATCCACGAGTCCAGAAGGGCTCGATTCTGCTGACTCTGGAGCTTCGGAAGAGACTCATGCTGCTGAAGATGAACCAGGTGACACAGAAGCTGAAATCGAGGAAGTCTATGAGCTGCAGAGAAAGGCAAAACGTCAAGTGAAGAAAGACAGCCATACTATCCGGTTGTTGCCATTCCTCCGAATGAGCAGCAGCAGCCAAGTGCCTCGTCTCAGCCACCTGTGCAAAAACAGACCTTCAAGTATGACCGAAAGCCGTCGACAAAGCCTGGAGGACCTAAGAAGCCTCCTTTCAAGCCTCCTCGACGAGAAGAAGCTAACCTGGCTCAAGCGAGCTTTCCACCGGACTTCGCATACATGGTGCAAGAAGTGTTTGTACCCCTGCATGGGTCGGATTGGGAAGTTTACATTGCGTCGGTGCAAGATCATCCTGAAGCCGATCATGAGGACTGTCACGAGTGTGAGTATAAACATGATAACGAGCCCAATACTAACCAAGTCGTAACCTCCGATACGCATAAAATAAGTGCACCAAGGTCCGAAACCGACAGTCATGTTCGTAGAACTCCCCCACAGAAAGCTGTTGAACAGGGTACTGTTTGTGATCAAAAACGGTCTCTTCAGCATATTGTGAAGAACACGCGAAAAGGGGTGGTAAATGTGAATCGGTTTCGAAATGAGTTGACCATCATTTTTGGTGAAAGTGCTTCAAAGATTGATCAAGCGTTCGTTGCCTATAGGCCCCGTCTTGCAAGAATTCCAACAGAAGCCGAGTCGAAACCTCTTTTGAGAACGGTGGTGACCCTCTCAGGCGACGGTCACATCGATTGCCAACCATGGTCGATCCGCCCTGCAGGAGCTGAACGCAGCAGGGTCCATCAAGTGAATATTGCACTGTTGGCCTTTCGGGTCAATGACCTTGAGCCGACCGAACCTGTCGAACCAGACATTTCCCCAAAATGGTCACGCTACTGCTGCGAACCCCCGGATTGTGATTCAGAGGGCGCTTCATTTGAAGATGATCCAATTCAATGATATGGAAATCTTGTATGAAGAGACTGATTGGACAAATCCCCTGGTTACGGAACCGATTCCCCCAGAATCGTCAATTCGACAAATCCGTACTCTCACTGGGGAATTGAGTAGATCTAGGATTAAGGATGATAAGAAAGGTGTGAAGCGTGATCTTGTTGAATGGTTGGGTTCCCAAGCATATAGATTGGACAAAAGCAGTATCTCTTGTTGAAATGTTTTGTGGAAAAGGAAACCTCAGCGATGTTCACGCCAGAGCGACAGGCACGGAATGCATCAAACTTGGCCTAGAACATGGTCAGGACTTCGAACGTGTGCGGGATCGAAGACTCATGCTTTTGCTTCTAGAGTATGTAAAACCCAAAGACCTCTGGATAGCATTTCCATGTAAAGCATGGGGTCCATGGAGCCGCTTCAACATGAGCCGTGGTCCTGAAGCCAAGCAATCCGTGATGTCTGCGCGCCAGATCGGTCGGAAGCACCTTTTTGCTGCAAGTGAAGCATGGCATTTCCAGGTTTCCATCGTCGGACATGATGCCCACATGGAAAAACCACTGACCAGTGACGCATGGAAACTCTTGAAATTGGGTCAAGTATATGACTTGCGAGTGGATCAATGTGCATTAGGACTCAGGTGCCCCAAGACAAATCTGCCTGTCTTAAAACCCACCCGTCTGGTGACCAGTTCCAATGCACTTGCTCAGGCACTTCGTAACTGTCGATGTGACCATAAGCACGAGCATGCACACTTGGTTGGGAAGTTCCGTGGACGAAACCTGACATCATACGCCGAAAGCTATCCTGCTAAGTTTTGCCGAGCCGTGTCAAAAGCACTGATCACCTGCGCCGAAGAAATTCATGCTGGCGAGCTTGATGACATCTCCGTTAACTCGGAGGATAACAGAAGAAGCCGACCAGGATATAGAGGGTGATCAGGATGCTGCCATCGACATGCCAGGACATGGACAAGATGCCACCGACATGCCAAGACATGGACATGTAGCTGTAAGCTCAAGGACCAAAGCAATGATTCGTAAGTTGCACGTTAACACAGGGCGTGCATCAAATGAGCAAACGATGAGACTAGCTGTTCGATGTCAATCCTCAAACGAGATCAAACAGGCCATCAAACAGTTCAACTGTCCAATTTGCCAGGAGTTGAAAACACCCCCAAGCTACCGTAAGACACGAATCCCGGGCCCGGACCATCCCAATGAAATTGTAGGGATAGATTTCGCGCAGGTAGAACTCAAATCCATGCAGCCTAATGGTCAAATTAAGGAAGTTAAATACAGAGTCCTGACATGTGTAGACATGGCCACTGATTTTGCACAGCAATATGTCATGAAGCCAGGCGATCGACTCTCACAAGCCTTCCATGAGGTGTGGTCCAGACCATACGGTTGTCCCAAAACCATATACATGGGTCCCACAAATCAGCACTTGTCAAAAGAGTTCCAGGCATATCTTGTTGAAAACGACATCCAGCTCTTACTAGCAGCTGCAGAAAGTCATTGGCAACTTGGAAGAGTCGAGATTGCAAATCGCATCCTTCGTGGCATGGCCCAGCGCTGTTGGCAAGCGACCTCACGACCTGCAGAGGAAGTCATTGAAATCTGCGCAAGCATTTGGAATGAACATCTCCGTAGGAACGGTTGTTCACCGAGTCAATGGTTCTTAGGTGTCAATCCCCGTCACGCAGGTATGCTGGATCAAATCGAAGACCAAGAAAATCCTGCAATCCAGTCACAAGTGCTTGCAATGCCTTCTTTTGCAGAGAAGTTGCACCTTCGCGAGACTGCCGCTCGAGCCTTTAGAGAAGAGCACGCTAAGGATGCATGGCGAAGGGCAATTGCGCATCGAAACCGTCCCATGAGGGGTCCATATGTAGTTGGGCAACTTGCTTATATGTTTCGAGCGCGTGGTCGCGGACAGCTGTCAACAAGACATGGTATGCGCTTAGGTCCATGTAAGGTCATCGGAACAGAGAGCTCACATAACAGCAATCTTCCTCGAGTCGTTTGGGTATCCTACAATGGCTGCTTGCATAAATGTAGCCCAGAGGGTCTGAGACCTGTCTCGGAGGATGAAGCTGAGTTCCGTCGTCTAGCTAAAGATCTTACAGAAGGAAAGCTCGCGCCAGATCTTGAACGCGCAGAGCATGACTTGTCTAATCGTTGTGGTTTATACCATGATTTGACACAGGATATCCCTAAGGATGATGACATCCCTAAGGATGTCGAAGATGAACCTGATGATGATGAAACATGGAAACGAAAACAGGACTTCGATTCGGAGGGCGTTGCACCAAAGCGCATTCGCTTAAGATACTATAGGTCACATGAGTACTGGGATAATCGCAGTAAAGGCATGCCCCCACTCAAGATGCTGCAAGAAGGCCCAACGCCTCGCATGGCAAGTCTTCACCATGATCCACCTGAACCACAACATGAAGATGAACCCCCACTGAAAAGAGCAGCTCGAGAAACACTGGATTCCATTCCAGAAGAAGACTACACGCCGTCAGTTGCTCCACCAGGTGAATCACCAGATGTGGCGCCTGCTCCAGACATAGAAGTAGTTCCCGACTCCGTTAGTGAACACGCTAATGATCCAGAAGCCTGATCCACTAAAGTGGAACCCACTGAAGCTCCTATGGATGTAGAGGAACGACTTCAACGTGCTGTCGAGCACCCTGTCCCAGAAAACGAAAATCTTCTTGTCACCGCCAGGAAGCAGCGTGAGGAAGTGTTTGAGCTGAGCTTTGATATATACCCTGAAGATATAAGAGATAGTCCATTTTTCCTCTGGGGTATCTTAGATGAGTGTTATGAAGTAAACACTGCCCAAGCCAAAAAGCGTAAGGTCGAGGTATCATTCAGAAAGCTTAATGATCATGATAGGAAACTCTTTGAGGCCGCAATGCAAAAGAATGGCAATCATGGATAGATAACAAGGTTACATCCATATGCAGTTCACGTGGCATCTCTAGAGATCGTATCATTAGAGCTAGATGGGTACTTGTTTGGAAAAAGAGCAGTGATCCGGATGATCGTCCGAAGACCCCCAAGGCCCGTTTGGTGTTGGTTGGTTGGGAAGACCCTGAACTGGGACAAATCGCGACCGACAGTCCCACACTCCGGAAAGAAACAAAACGCACGACGCTGTCCATTTGCGCCTCCAAAAAATGGAAAATTTGGGGCGCAGACATAAAGACTGCCTTCCTGAGTGGTGATGCTTCTCAGCGTGGCATTTACTTTCGTCCCCCTGAGCAGATCCGCAAGTGGATGAATCTTGGGTCAGAAGACCTATTCCGATTAGAGAAAGCCGCATACGGATCAGCAGAAGCACCACGAGCATGGTTCCTTCGTTTGTCTAGAGAACTAGCTGGTGTAGGACTGACTGTAAGCCAGCTGGATCCCTGCCTTTACGCTCTTAGACTGCAAGGTGAACTTTGTGGTATATGCGCTATTCACGTGGATGACCTGTTAGGTGGTGGAACCCCCGCAATGGATGAAGTGTTGAACAAGCTTAGAACCAAACTGCCGTCTGGAGATTATCGAACATTCACCATCAGGTACACAGGCTTCGAGATAAGACAAAATACAACGACATAGAGATTGGTCAAGAAAGCTATATAGATGCACTTGAACCTGTTGCCACAAAGCCTCTTGGAATTGCATCAACCCCGTTGAAGAATCCGACAATCTTGAGAGCGTGCGCTGGACAACTCGCATGGGTGTCTAACGCAACCCGACCTGATCAAGCCTTTCTGTCATCATACCTCCAAGGTGTTCAAGATCATGGACTTGTTTCGCATGTCAATCTATACAATAAGGCCTTGAGAGAGCTTAAGGAAGAACGCGTATGCCTTAAATTGCCCAGTCATGTTGATATCAAAGATTGGAGACTTTTGCGCATAGCCGACGCAGGATGGGGAACCCGCGATAACGGAGATTCTCAGGGTGGATATCTTTTGCGTTTAATTACACCACACATCCTCGAGCGTAAGCCAGCCTGCACATGGCTCCTTGACTGGAGTTCCAAAAAGTTGAGGCAAAAGGTCCGCAGTTCGGTTGCTGCCGAAACGCTCTCAGGACAAAACGGATTGGATGCCATCGAAACAATGCAAGCCTTGTTAGCGGAAACCCTGGATGGTATATCCCCAAGAGTTTTTCGAAATAGCAATCCTGTGAATACATCAGCATTAGTGACTGACTCAAATGGATTCTACGACACTGTAACTAGAAGCTGTTGTTCATCAGCAATCTCTGTCGAAAGACGCCTTCAAATCGACTACTCTATTGCCAAAGAAACACTTGAGAACCAGAACATTGTAGTGCATTGGGCAAACAATCTTGGCATGGCAGCGGATTGCCTCACAAAACTGAAAGGAGGCTCAAAACCATTGTTTGACCTTCTTGAAAATCTAGTGTATCAAATAAAAGCCAGTAAGGAATCCGGCCGGAAAGAGAAGCAAAGCCAAGGGTCCAGTGATGTTGTCACTGGAGTGATTGCATCTCATGCGTGAGTGTTTATTTGTAGTCGAAGCCATAAACATGACTTGTTAAGCAAGCCTTAGGTTTCATGGCAGTGAGCAGTGCGTGTGAACCACTCACATTTGCTGCTGAAGAATTCATTGTTTTATTTTTCTCCGCAATTTTGACTAGCAAGTCAAGCCTGCGACTTGAGCAAAGCGTGTGAAAGCTCTTGCGCTTTTGTCAGCCACCATGAGCCGCAATGCCAAGTGTGCAAAATCCCCAGCAATGGCTGATGCATATGAGCCACTGAATGGCTCTGAGATCATGGAGCTCAGGAAGCACTTGCTCCCATGTCGTGTGCACGTGGCCAGCTTGCTTTCAGAGCTAGACCCCCATGGACTTTTGCCGACCGGATCTATGTCCGATGCCTCGAAGCGTGGCCGTGACCTTGATTGGGATGTGATCGAGGAGTTGGTTGAAGAAGGAATCCCAAGGGCTGTGGCCGAGGCTGGTCACATTGACCATGGAGAAGTGAAGAAGTTGCCGAGCGATGTCGCCTCCTTTGAACAGCGGGGAAAGACCAAAGTCACCATGAAGAAGTATGCCGACAATGGCTACACCTTCAAGAGCATCGTGAAGGCCAGCTACACGGATTCTGAAGTGACCCAGTACTTGAGCTGGATCCTCAAGACCTATGCTGGAAAGTCGATTAGCTCGCAAGGTCCTGACTTGGCCGCCTACTTGGAGTACATGGATCGGTGCCCGAAAGTGTTTGCCAAGCCCTAAAGCTGCAACGGCACCGAACGCCGAATGAGGGCGTGTGAAAGTGGAAGGGTGACCGGACGATCGTGCACCTTGCCAGGTCGATGACTATGAATTCCGCTTCCCGCTTCCGTTGGCTGTGCCTCTACGAGGGGCCCCTTGGTAGCCATGACACTCGCTGCCCTCGCGATGGGATGAGAAAAGAGTGCGCCTAGTGAAGGGCGATTGTGGTGGAATCTCATTTCCACGTATATTCCAGATACTCCTCTCTTGCCTTGCCGTCGCTACCATTTCTTCACATATATACACATAAAATAATTTGACAAAATATGACTATGTTTAAGTATTTGTTTAATGCATCAGTTTATCTACTTTCTATATATATATATATATATTTGATCTAAATACTACTTCCGATGCCTTTGAGTGAAATTTGCATCGCATTCCCCTGCCTCCAAGTCATCCCTCCGGCTCTGCTCAATGCCCTTGTGAGCATTGATAGATGCATACCTGTCCATAACGCTGCAAAACAACAACCTCGCTAAAAGCAACGAGAATCTGCGCTTTCCGTAAAGTGTTCTGTGCATCTAGTCGCTGGGACGAAATGCACGCTGACCGGACACTGTAGCATTTCGTAAAACATGGTGGGAACAATGAAGGAGCAAAGTCAAAGAAGGTATACCATCCTTGTTCTGAATGCGTGTCAAAGGCCCTGCTGAGTTTGCATCTCCCTATGCCAAAAATAGTCCTTCGTCTTCGTGTGCTTCATGCGTGCTTCTGCACACTGTCGGACTTTGCCATGACTCTGTCTAATGACGATGTCCAGGATAGTGGTGGGTGAAGAAATACGACATTGCGTTTTCTACTTCAAAGTGCGTCAGGAATATAGAAACATGTAGAGAGATTTATGTGGTACTAGTCCTAGTAGTGAAAGTGTTGTGGTAGAAGAAGGAGTCTGTTCGGGTGCGCATTGTACAATTTAGAAAGCCCAGAAGCGAAGAGCAGTAGTCCTCTCAAAGGTGGTGGATCCATTTGCGGCAGAACCGTGTCTTCAAGAATGTGATACAGGACTGAAAGAATGTGTTTAAAAAACTTGTTTAAAGGTCCGGTTTAAGTCTAAGTCTAAAGAACAAAAGAGATATGGAGAAAAGTGGAGTGAAAGGATGACGAGCCTTATCCAAATTTGGAAACATCTTGAATATGGCAGCCCTAGCTACGACGGCGGAGGTGCCCCTTCTTCCCTCCTTTCCTCTTCATCCCTCTTCGTCTTCCCTCCTCCTTCCTTCCCTTGGCCATTGAAATCGGGGAGGCGGAAACTAGTAGCTTCTTGTTCCTAGTAGCAAGAATGCTCCTAGTAGTAAGGCCAGGAGCCCCTAGTAGCTTCTTATTCCTAGAGAAGTTCTGCCTGTTTCCGCATTGAGGGATTTTCTTTCTATCTGTCTTTCCCGTTGTGCCAATTGCCCCTCTCCAGCGGGTCCTTGCATCTGTGTGTAACATTCGGGTCACCAAGCCCACGGATTCGGACACGTTCGGGACGCAACGGGTTCGAAGGAACAACACCACACCGCCCCACCCGGCAGAGACCCTTTAGTTTCTGAATCGAGCCTTCGGCCTTCGGCCTAGTTTCTGAATCCCTAGTAGAGTCCTTGTTAGCAGTGATGCCAGGAGCCCCTAGTAGCGTCCTTGCTCCTAGTCGTAATGCCAGGAGCCCCTAGTAGCTTCTTTTCCTAGTTTCTGAGCTGGAATATACCCAAGTTTCTGAATCGTCTGTTCATAACATCCCAAGGTACATGTGTGTAGCACAAAAAGTGCCAGCAAAGCTTTCGAACCAAGCTCGTTCACTCACACCCACGTACTTTTGTGAACTTGTCTTTCTGTGCTGCTGCTCCTGCTGCTCCTGCTGCTCCTGCTGCTCCTGCTGCTACTGCTCCTGCTGCTACTGCTCCTGCTCCTCCTCCTCCTCCTCCTCCTCATCATCATCATCATCATCATCATCCGCATCCTCATCATCATAATCATCATAATCATCATCATCGTACTACTGCTGCTACTCCTGCTACTCTGCCTTCTTTCTTTCCCTTGCCTCTTCCTTTTCTCCTTTCTCTTTGTGTTTTCACCTTTGGAGTTTCCTTCCTCTTTCCTTTCTCGTTGTCTCTCATGCTCGATAGCAACGGCTCATCCCAGCCTAGCGGTGCCAGTCAGGCTCAGCTGTGTTCGCAGTTGAACGTGTTTCTGGTCAAAGTACCTGCGAGTTTCAGAGAAATGAAAAAGAACCTACTAGCAACGGCCTCCACCCTAATAGCGATGGCCTCCAACCTACTAGCGATGGCCTCCTTGGCCTCCAACCTACTAGCGAATCAAAAGTACCTGTCGAATGACAAGGGTTTTCGCAGGCTGGAAAAGGGCGCCTCTTGCTAAGACCGAAATCGATCAGGTACAAGTGGTGAACCTAAAGGAACGACAACAATTTCAATCGATGCCCTAACTACTAGTGGCTTCTAGCTACTACTAGTAAGGCACTTGTTCCTAGTAGCGATGGCCTTGTTACTAGTAGCTCCTTGCTAATAAAGAAAAAAACGATCCTTCTCAGAAGCAGACCCTGCTCTTGATGCCGAACATGAAATTTTCTGGTTTGATATCTCTGTGAACAATTCCCTGGCAGCACAGCGGGGACAATGCAAAGGACACATGAGCGACGCAAAGCAGGTAATCGCTTATGCAATCAGTGGCTCTAAGCAAATCACGGCTGCGCCTTGGAATGAAGGTATTCTATGCGCCTGAGCACTTGCTCCGCAATGAGCACCGCTGTCCTCAGTGATTTAGTCGGACACATGAAATTGCTAGTCAGATAGTCGGAATGCTTTAGCTGTTGGATTAAACAGGACAGGCAAGAAGCCTGCACTTATTGAAATCAAGACTGGACCATGGAAGAACCTTAAAGAGTTGAATGCACCAAGCAGACTTCCGAGGGTTGGACTGTGCATTGAATCGCGGGGGCTGTCCACCTTGGGACCCCAGTCCCTGCAGCCGGTCCTCAAAAACTGTCAATGTCAAGGATGAAAACATGCACATGTGAGGATGAAAATATGTAGCGCATCGGTGCAATATCGAAAACACATGGGAAAAGAATGGGAGTTAATTTAATAAGGACTAATGAGGCCCCCTTTCCTCAGTGTGCAATCGCGGCACCAACTACATCATCAATGGAAATCCGTTCATTGGGATCTCAACCCACGAATACATGATGAAAAGAAAAAGTCACAAACAAATTATATTCAATTCTGTCGTTCTGTTGGTTGAGAATATTCATTAAAGGGGGCATGTTCTCTCTCCCATCGACTCACGATCAGGTCGACAACTTGAAGGTTTTCTGCGCTTCAAATCAGCAGCGGTTGGCGACAAGCAACTGACTCAAAACAACGCTGCAAAGAGAATGTCCCATGTTCCTGGGCTATGCTTAGCACCTGAAAAAAACGCCTGGCAAAGCAAGTGCACCTTTGGGAAGGTTTTCCCCCAACCTGTTGTTTGTCAACTCCAGCAACACCAGAGCCACAATGATATCTTATTTGCAAGAAGCAAGTCTTCCAAGGATGATAGCACCGAATGAACATGGCGTTGCAATCACGCCTTCCACCTCCAATGGCACTCGCTGATGGAAGGCCGGTCAACTCAAAAATTGAACTGGAATGAAGCTACTAGGAACAAGAAGCTACTAGGGGCTCCTGGCATCGCTACTAGGAGCAAGACGCTACTAGGGGCTCCTGGCCGTACTACTAGGAACAAGAAGCTATTAGGGGCTTATTCTAAGACATAACCATCGCCAAGACGCCAACTCAAAGTATTGCCGAAAACAAAGGATAGGTTGGAGGCCATCGCTATTAGTGAAAAAGTAAAAAATAAATACTTAAAAAAAAGAGCGCGGCGGGGCAGGTTGAAGTTCCGTGGACAAGGTTTGTTTGCACGCTGCTGGATATTGAGATCCAAGGTCATGGTCCGACATTCTGGCAACTGCCTCACGGCCACATTGGGTGATCTCTTGTGGCCGAACAACCGGAGGGTGCGTCAGCCTGCGGTTTGTTTGTTGTCTTCAGTTGCTGAAAGGGCTGTAGCGGGGAGGCCCGCTTGGTGGCTTCATCTTTGCTGACCGCTTTTGCAACAGAGTCAGCAGCTGGATATCGTGCAAAGGTTGTTGAACGGTCCGATGGTGTATGTTCTAGAAGGCAGGCCCGACACGGGCGCTGGGCAAGAAAAAAGCCCCTAGTAGCATCCTTGCTCCTAGTAGTACGGCCAGGAGCCCCTAGTAGCGTCATCTTGTTCCTAGGTGTCCCCACCACTCGCAGTGCGTCCACCCAAGCCCAATGAACCAATCAAGCTCAAGGCGACGTTCCAACTGCTGCGCCACTATGAGAGAGTAATGTATGGCCAAAAGCCCCGAGGACGCAAAAACAATGATTCTGCCTCCCAAAGAGCTTGGCTTGCAAAATAGGCTTGCGACACCTTTTGAAGTGTGGGTGTGCGGACCATGATCACCTAACCGATCTGGGAATCATATAGACCCTACCCTCAACTCAGAGACAAGCTGAGGGTAAGGCGCCTCCGAAATGTTCGAACAGTCTGTAGCTTCTTCTGTCTGCTAGTACAAGTAGACTTGGGAACAACACATGGGCACAGAATGTCCTATATTTGCATGTGCAGTCTTGTTTGCCCACATGATCAAAAAAAGAAACTGATGAAGGCATGTCCTCCAGAGACTTCCCCAGCATCTCCATAACCAGGCACATGAAGCGTTGCTGGCACGAGAAGCTTTGAAACTCAATTTGCATTGAAGAGTTTCATGTGTCCAGTGTCCCAATTGTCCCAATGTCCCATGTTTCTTTCCAGTGAACCGACACAAAGGAAGAAAGAAAAACTAAGTTTCAGAAACAAAAAAAGTACGGTACACTAAATTCAATTAAATTCTAATTTATATATTGTTTCTACTAGCTTCTTGTTCCTAGTAGTAAGGCCCTTGCTCCTAGTAGCGATGCCCTTTGCTCCTAGTAGCGAACATTGCTCCTAGTAGGTCTAAAGGTAACTTCAAATAGACTCCCGAGCGTCAACTCTTTCATACCTAGTACCATTTATACGTACAAATTCGGCTTGCCCAAATAGACCAAAGTTGACATAGTTATTCTTCTCAGAAAAGAACGCACTAACAAGAAGCTAGCTCCTGGCATTCTACTAGTAACAAGAAGCTACTAGGTTGGAGGCCATCGCAACTAGTAACAAGAAGCTACTAGAAACCGTTAAAGGTCCTTCTACAAAGGTTCTTCAGTTCAATTCGCACTACGCCTCCTGGCCACACCAGAACAGCTCCGCGAAACCTTGCGGCTTCTTTGGCTGCGCCATCAACCTGGAAAAGCTTTGTCGGATGTCGACTCTGGCATCTTTGAAAAACTGATAAAAACTGTGTATTAAAATATATTTCATGTTGATCTTATTACTGGCCCCTTTAAAGGACCCCAAAAAAACAAACTCTTTGCTATATAAACCCCTGGAAGAAGTTTGTCAACAGGTCTCAATCGTCCCCTGGGCTCAAAGCTTCAATACGAGCTGTTCATGCTCGAGTTGTAGCGCATGCCCGGATGAGTCCTGAAGGCACTATGTTTCGAAACTGTGCACAACATCGTTCAATTTGTTGTTATGCAGCCAGAATGACACCGTATGGGTTTGCTTGTGGGGTCTCTTTGCCACCGATGCTCCCCGATACAGTGCCACCCCGACTGAAAAAACCTACTCCAACCATCTGTTTTATATATATATATCATTGTATATATATATATATATATATTTAATCAAAATAAAATGACTAAAAAATATCTTGGGTAGGTAGTGAGGGTGGGGGGGGTTGCGTTTGGAAATCCGCTTCCCCACCATCACTCACTCCTCCCTTCTTCTCTCGTTTGTCCTTTCTTTTTTGAAAAATCAAAAAAGTAAATAAGAAAAACGCAACGCCGACGCCCACGCATCCGCCGACCCCCCTGAAGTGGATGAAAACCTCCCTTCTGACCAAGCAGGACAAACGATTGAACAATAGATAGGTAGATAGATAGAGAGATAGATGTATATAGGTCAATCCAATCTACGAATACATTTAGTGAATTTAGTGGAAGTGTTTGCCAAATGTCAGGCTTTGAGAGGTTGCGTGGATAAGCCACTTCTTCCACTGTTCAAGTGTCAAACTCTGGAGTTTCTTAGGTTCAGCCACTCTCTCCCAGTTCTGGTTTATATAGAAGTCCAACTCTGAAGTTTCCCGTCTCTCGATACTTGGTTCTGGGTATCATTGATACTTGGATACTGGTATCGGGGTATCATTGATACTTGGACACGGGTATCAAGGTATCACTGATATTTGGTTTTGGGTATCATTTATACTTGCATACTGGTATCGGGGTATCACTGACACTTGGTTCTGGGTATCGTTGATACTCGGACTTTTGCTTCATTGATACTAGGTTGTGGGTATCGTTGATACTTGGATACCGATATCTGGGTAAAATTGATACTAGGCTCTGGGTATCGTTCATACTTGGATGTTGGTATCTGGGTATCATTGATACTAGGTTGTGGGTATCGTTGGGTATCATTGATACTAGGGTTGGGTATAATGTGTGACAATTGCTCTTGGATGACTCACCCACAAAACATCTCAAGCGCCTCACTTTCTTTTTCACCAGCAAAGCTCACATGTATCCTGCATCCCTCAACTTCTGCTCATCCTCTTGAAAGAGCTTGGCGACGAAATGCCAAGGCTGCAAAGCCACACTTACATTGATTGTGCTCCTCAGGACGCAGTCTGTGGGCTCCTCACGAAGAAGCCTCATAGTCAATTTGGTCTCCTGCTTGCCCTCCGCGAGATACCCCATGGGTCCTGCCTCTGCTACCTTGAGGAGATACTCCTTCACTTCCAAGTCAATCCATTTCTTCTCAGTTGTTTCCACCCTCTGCTGGTACCACTGCTCAACCTGCTTGATGACCGCATCCGCGCCTTTCTGACGTGCCCTGGAGACGTTTCGCAGTATCAAGTTCAAGGCGCGGAAGTTGCCCCCTGCGCGGATGTAGTAGTGCTTCAACACCTACTCGATGTCCTCGTCGGCAAGAACCTTGTTCAGCGTCCGGAAGTCGTTTCCGTGCTTTGCCACCTCCTTGCCCACAAATACGAAGTCTTCGAAAGGTAGGGGTCGCACCACCATCAAATCTGACATGTCAAACCCTTCTTCGACGATGCCCGCCACGGCAGACACACTGACCTCCAAAATGAACTTGCGCGCAGCATGGTCGTAGATGATGTTGCGAGCGAAGGCAGCGAGGGTGGAAGCAATGTCATCACAGGCAGCAGGTACACCACGACAGCACTGCCTGTTCGGCGCTTGGACGTCTCATTCACCTTTTCCAGCAAAGATGTGACATTTGATGGGTAATATCGGGGCAAATCTACGGCTTGTAAGGCTCGGGGCAGTGCCTCGTTGAGCTTCAAGTCCTCACCAGGACGAACAGAAATATCAAGAGGAAGCACCCTTTTGCCATTCTTCACATGCTCACACATGAGATTGTTCAGCATGGTTGATTTCCCAATGCCTTGGCAAAAACTGACCACCATGAAGGAAGGTGTGCTCAAAGCTTTACGTTGAGGTGAGTTGATGAAGTCCTTGATGTATTCCTCCTCGAGAGGCCGTGCAGGGGCGGGCTCTTTCCTTTTCAGCCTTTGCCCAGCCTTCCTCACTGCCCTGTTCATGAAGAAGCCAGGAAGGAAAGTTTGATTGAGAGCTTGGAGAACCAGCACTACGACGCTCCCTGTGCTCAACAAAGTCCAACCAGCTTTAACGGTCTGCGCCGGAAAAGCCCTTGCAGGCTGTGTTCGTGCATGACCGCTTGGAAGGACGAACCGGCCTGGCGCAAGCTGAACCTGCCTCACAAAGATGCATCTGGGGAATGTCAAAGAAAAAGGACAATACATCGGTTCAGTCAATTTGTGCCAAACTGGCTTTGGATTGAAGGATGCTTGATATGCAAAACCAAACAGGAACCACAGGCGCCTAACCTCAATCAATACATGAATTTGAAGCAAATAATTCGACATCTTTGAAGAACAGCTTGGTAGAATTTGAACCTGAACCCACACATAGAAACTCTGACCACCTCAACAATTATCCCCTTCATTCAATCCAAACACTGAAGTGAAAGCTATGACCCTAAAACACGCATAACAAGACCCCAGAAAAACGACAAAGGCTCAACACAAATTTTCAAAAGCCAAGGGCCAAGAAAATTCAACGAGGTGATTGATGAACCAAAACTCCTCAGAACCCCCATTTTGCAATTCTTTTTGGGCCCCCCCTTACATTTAAAACCATTACTAAAACAATCGAAATCAAGCACGGGAACAGTTCACCACCCCCAATACAAAGCAAAGACAACTCAGGTAGCTGAAGCTACCTTTCGTGAAAACGACTGAAACTGCAGTCAGATTCTGAAACTACCGTAGGGGCCATCGCTAGTAGGGTGGTTGGAGGCCATTGCTCTCAGGTAGGAGGCCATCGCTAGTCGTGGTTCCCACGGATGAAGACTGTGACTTGACTCAAAAATGCGTCCTCAAACTTGACGGCAACTTTCTCATTCGTCTGCTTGTCTCTTCCTGCCCACACCTCCAATATCACGTGATGTTGCATAGCTTATGAAGTGCAAGAAAGCAGTTCTGGCCTCTCCAAAACAACCTGACAGTGCAAAGTTCAACACCAGTGAGTGTTCAAGACAAGTTCATGGACTGATGTCAACTTGTTTAAAATAATCATTCCAAATCAGAGCTTCTGATTTGGACCTGCTCCAAGCTTTTTTTCGATCTGATATCGGCCATTGGCCACCGTGGAGGGAGGCTTTGAACCTCAGGCTTGCAACAGCCCTAGGGTTAAGACAAAAAGACTTGCATCCAAGACAGCACCTTTCGGTTGTAAGTAGCCGATAAAATTGTTGTAAGTTAGTGTTCTGTTTTGAAAAAGAACTGTCGAATGGTGTTAGAACTGTTTCATTCACCGAGGGTTCTTCACCGGAAAATTCCTTGGGGAGGCCTCACCTTTTGCGGCCTTACATGTAGCTTCAAGATTTTTCTGTAAGCTTCTACTAGCTTCATTACTTAAACGTCCTCCCCATTCCCCTCCTCCTTCTAAGGGGCCTACCTTCCACCAAAGAAGCAGAAAGAGAATGTACTAAATATATCTCAATATGGAGTTCGATGGTTTATTGCGTGTTAAGTTTGCTTGATGTCCGAACACGGGGCCCCTCTCGCTTTCGTCAAACCGAGCGGCTTCCAGTCATTGCCCTCTAGGCCTCAAAACACATCTTTGCTTTGTAAAAACAAGCATCCAAATGACACAAAGTCAAGAAGCAATTCAAAACAAGGAGGCCATTGCTCTTAGGTTGGAGGCCATCGATTGCATTCTGAAAACTTGGGTCGGAACGACGAGGGGCGCACGCGACTTGTGATCGCTAACTTGCCCCCTGATGAGTGATCCAAGTGGCGAAGACGGGTGATCCAACGAGATCCCAAAACAAGTTGGCAAGGTCGTGCCAAGCTCGCGCCGAGGTCCAAGGTACAAAGTGGATCAAAGTGTCGCCAATTTCAACCAAACAAAAGAATCTACAATCGCACTTCAACGAAAAGCCATCCATGCAGTCAACCTAACAGCGATGGCCTCCAGCCTAGAAGCAATGGCCTCCAACCTAATAGCGATGGCCTCCAACTTGATCGCATTGTTACGTGTATGTCAAATCTTTTTTCGCCTCTGGCTTGTCTATACGAGGTGAAACACGTGAAACACTATGCCACAGAGCCTTTCCTCCAGACCTTAGGTCCCTTGGTGGCTATCTTGAGTGAAAAGGACCACCTAGGTGGTGGCCTGTTCTTCCTCCATCTTCTTCCGCAGGTACCTAGCACGTAGAATGCATGAAACTTGTGCTTCACATCATATCGTTGGCTCTAAAATTGCATGAAAGTACAATCAAAATCCCTTCATGCTTTTTAATGATGGAAGTCGTGATGAACGTGCATCCCACAGAGCACATTGCAATAAAAGCAATCTCATCTTGTGGCTGTGCCAGAGCCTCAGGGCAATTGAAATCTTTCAAGCTCGTGCGACCGTCATGATGCCTGCCTTGTTTCCCTTTGATTTAAAGCGCTGGCATTCGTACAACGCCTCGCACATCCAAAAGTCTCTGTCCTTTTGTGTTGTTTCCACTGTCTTCTCTTTGTTTCCACTGTTTTTTGTTTCCACTGTTCCTCGCTTGTTCTATACATATTATATATATATTGCTACTTGGGTGGAGACCATCGCTTGTACATCCAGTGGACGGGCTGACTCAATCGGCCCAAAAAAATGGACCAGCCGGCCTCGCCCAATTCGCTGTGCAGTCTACGGCCGATGTATGAGCGGATACTCATGCTGGTTGGCCTGAGCAGCTTGCAAGACAGAGCGAAAAGGGCAAGGAAAAACAAAGGAAAAAGGAAACAAATAAATAGAGAAAGGATTTAAAAAATAGAGTTTAAAAAAGAAAAGAAAGAAATAGATCGGGTACGTCAAGGAAACTTCTCCTAGAAACGAGGTAGCTTCCTTGAAGTACCTCACCTTTCCTTGCTTGGTTCGACGTTTTCAGAGCTTGCATGTACTCCCAGCCGCCCAGTGTCCACCGGTAAAGTGGAAAATCAATAGCAATGCCAGGAGCCCCTAGTAGCGAACATTGCTCCTAGTAGCGATGCTCTTTGCTCCTAGTAGCTTCTTGCTCCTAGTAGTATGGCCAGGAGCCCCTAATAGCAGCTGCCAATGCTGCTTCGCCACAAATCTTCCCCAGGAAAATTCCCTCCAATGCTGCTCTCCTTCCATCAACCAATCAATGTCGCATTCAACAGCGGCACAGTGGACTTTGCGAATGTGTTTTATCTCAAGTTTAGGTCTGCACTGCTTCCACCGCCGCTGTCCCTCCAAAACTACAACTACTGCTACCAAAAACGATGGCCTCCCCCTACTAGCGATTGCCTCCAACCAAAACACGGAAAATACAAAATCAAAAAATAGAAACGTAATGAAGCAATGGCCTCAAACCTGGAAGCGATGGCCTCCCCCTAGCGCTATTGCTACTAGCACTGCCACGATGACACGGCAAGCTTAGTAGCTGTCTAAAAATCAACGAACCGTATTGAATGTGGTGGCGTACCTCCTCGAAACGAGACTCTTAGCTAACTAGCCCAATAGCCTAACTCGACTAGCTAACCGAGTCTCTGACCTAGCACTATTTTTTGCACTGCCCGAGGCCTTCAACCCCTTCAACCCCTCCGATATTTCCTTCCCTTTGGTTCCTTGTTAGTCCTAGTTCAAGGCTTCGGAACTTGGACGAGTTTGTTACAGTTCTCAATTGTGGGCCCTCGCAGAACAAATCGTTCGCTAACTTGAGACTTATTGTTACTACTAGTAAGGCACTTGTTACTAGAAGCGATGCACTGGTTACTAGTAGCTTGATAAGACCTCAAGAAAAGGAAAAGCGTTCGAAGGAAACACAACTCTCCTTCCCGTCCAACATTCTCTGTATCTCCAACATCTGGTCCTGCTGAGCGTTTATAAGCACAAATCTTCAAAACTCAATTTGAAATAGCAAACATTGTTAACTACTAGCAAACATTGTTACTACTAGCACCGAGCTTGGAATCTGAGACACACTCCGAGCTTTGCCCTGCATCTCCTTCAGGACATCACACCCTGTGCGAGCCCCTTTGTCCTGAACAAGACTGTTTGCAATTGCATATCACAATCACTCTTCCTTGTTCGCTTGCTCTTGCAACCCCAAGGTGGGGCTCGCAGAAAACAATCCTCTCGCTCGAGTCTTTGCAGCAAAACCTGCAAGCCGACGCGATAAACAGATTGCAAGCTGTATCTGTATATGAAATTGAAAAGAAATAGAACTCTTTGCAACAAACATTGTTACACAAATATGGTTGCACTCAAGTGTTACAGCGCTCTCTCCTGATGTTCTTCTGCAGCTCTTTGGATGTCCTGCGCTCATGTGGGAAGCTGTTACTTCACCCTTGTCGAAGCAGGAAAAATTCTAACAATAGAATTATAGAATAGACTTATATAAATCCGCCAACCCCGCCCGAGCTTACGCCTAGGCGGGGAGGCACCTGGCATACCGAAGGTTGCATTCTTGTGGCAGTCCCGGCCACGCTTCGCTGGGTAGTGTCACGCGGCTCACCAATCTGCCCGCAAGAACTAGATGGGCTAGGGGCATGGGGATTGTTTCCCTTCCCTTTTTCGGCGTTTTCCAAGAGTGGCGCGTCTGGGCAGCTTCCACACCTTTTTCAATTGGTTTCGAAACTGCCCTCTGGCACCCTAGTTGAAACAGGGGTCGGCAGCACCCGGGCGTTAGCCCATTCTAAACAAAGAAACGTTTCAAGAATTTGTAAGTCTTCTGTAAGCAAATCGAACGCAGAATTCTGCGGGATCTCCAGCTTCACATCATTTGGCACTGCATCCTCGAGATAAGCATAAAAGGCCAAAGAAAGGTCTAAAGGTTCTAGTTTTCCAAAGTGATCAGTCATGTGAAGGGTTTTTCAAGGACACTCTTCCCCAGTAGCAAACTAGCTGCTATATAGTAGCTACTGCCACTAGAACCACTAACTTCTTCCTCCTCGGATCAGCCCATTTGAATAAATCCAACTCAAAGGATACAAAGAAGATCAAAAAAAACTTTAGGTTGAAGGAACAAGAAGCTACTAGTAACAGAGGGCTTCGCTACTAGGGGCAAGGACGCTACTAGGGGCTCCTGGCCTTACTACTAGGAACAAGAAGCTAGAAACAAACAAATATAAATAGAACTAAAAGTGAATTAAGTTTAATTAGAATTTAAGTAGAAAAAAGAACTCATGGACTCCAAGCGACCCCAATACATTCCACAAAGGTGAGGTTCTTCTGGCTCCTGTCAACGGCAGGAACAATAAGAATAGTAGCTCTTCAGGGCCTACCCCATTCAAAAATCAAGACAACCCAAATCAATCATTCGAGGGCTTCTTTCAGGAAGCTTAAGCTCAGAGCTCTTCTGCGTCCAAGCCTAGTAGCGGCCTACTTAATTAGCTACTACTCTTCGCCCTCTACCCCAAAAAAAGGAATATAAAAAGGAAAGAATGAAAAGGTAGCAAAAAGAAAAAGAGGAAAAGAAGAATGTCTCTGTGTCTTTCGAAACGCGCGACGCAGCTCGAGCCACTCAAGCTCACCTCACAGAGGCCACCAACTCTGCGAGAAGTTTCGTGAGAACCTCGAAAGGACGAAAAAAAACACAAAAAAGAAGCTACTAGTAACAGGTGCCACGCTACTAGTAACAGGTGCCTTACTAGTAGTAACAATGTTTGCTATTGGAAACAATTTAATTAGAATTTAAAAGACACTAGCAAAGCATTAAAATGAGGACATTATGTGTTATGTTTTTAAACGGAGGGTAGGCCGGAAGCTAGCAGGAGCTAGAGGGAGGAGTAGCTAGTAGTTACAAGGAAGCTACTACCGACAGGACGCAGGATAGCTCACACCAATGATGTGGTTCCTAGATCTTTAGGGAAACTTAGCTAATAGTGAATCACGGGTAACTTTAGCTATTGATTGATCGTCTTGCTTGCAAGTGTTTCTTGTCAAACTTGTTGTGTTTGTGCTTGCATGACGCACTTCAGTACGTTTAGGGCGGACTATCTTTTGCTCGGCATGCAAGGGAGCTTGCACTCCCTTGCATGGCGAGTGTCGAGAGCAGCAGCTTGTCAAGTCCAAGCTCCTCCACTTGCTTGGTAGCTGCGGACTGGCTGCAAAATCAAAGATGAAAGGTCAGGAACCTCATCTCCAAAGGGGTCGGATCTCCATTGCGAGAAGAAAAGCTTGTATCGATCTTCTCTGGGGTCCTCTTCATTGGTAAGCGCTCTCTGGCTCTCTGTGGATGTCGATTGGGTTCACTACCCCGCTGCCAGCGGCTTGGCGCTGTGGTATCGAACACAGCATAAAGTGAGTGGTTGAGCACGCTGAGGGGTGCTTTGGTCTAGGGCCGACCAGGGTGGTCGACAGAAACAGGCTGAGAGCCCATTTCTTTTTCATTGTAGCACTTGTTACTATTAGCTTTATTGTTACTACTAGTAAGGCACTTGTTCCTACTAGCTTCTTGTTACTACTAGTAAGGCACTTGTTACTAGAAGCGATGCACTTGTTCCTAGTAGCGTCCTTGTTACTACTAGTAAGGCACCTGTTCCTAGTAGCGTGGCACTTGTTACTACTAGCGCTTGCACAGCGTTTGTACAGCTTCACTCCTCCACTGTTTGGTCTCCCCGGCTGCACTCCCCAGTTTTCAGTGTAGCAAAGCAGCACAGCAGTGCAGCAACTGCGCGCAAAACAAAAATGCAAATTCTTGTTTGTTTCTAGCTTCTTGTTTTTTAGTAGTATGGCCAGGAGCCCCTAGTAGCGTCCTTGCTCCTAGTAGGCAA